AAGATTTTTTCCAGCTCGTAATGTGAAATTTCACCAAACTCCCAAACCACGGGTATCAATAACCAATTCTACTATTTAAATGACCATTCAGTAACATGGAATGTGTGACGAAATCAGTGCTCGTAAATATACAATGAAACTTCAATTTCATTAGTCAGCTTCTTTTTTCTACCCTCTGGCAGTGATCGTTGAGTCAGCATGTCGCCGCGCCTATATTCTTTGTCGCGGAGAAGTCGGGCGAAAATGTCTCAGTGGTGTTTAGAGTAGAAAAAGTATTATTTGTTGACTTCGATGAGGCGCTATGCATATTTTAAGCTAAACCTTTGTTAAAAATTCAATACATGAAAATACGCCTGCCTAGTATTTTTAAGCGTATTTCTGATTTTCAATGCGTGAAATACGCTCTCAGAGGCGTTAAAAATATCTCGGAGAATATGGAAGGGATAGACTTCAGCAATTCCATAATAATTCAGTACCCTCTTTCATAAAAATTGTAAAATGATATAAAAAACTTTGTTTTATTTTTTAACACCAATATTCTTTAAATAAATCAGAATAATCTCTCTTCTTAAATATCATCTTAATTTAGTTAATCAAATTATTTAATTTCCTGTAGAAGCAATAATTAAAACAAAATCAACAGGAATAGTAAATCTCTTCAGACTGATCCAAAGATACTTTCCTTCACTTTGTTAAAGTGGACAGGGTTCGTACCGTCCTTAAATTTTTTGAAATCGATTTTTGGTCCTTAAAAGCCCTTAATTTTGGCCAAAATCAGTAGAATGTCCTTAATTTTAATCGTCTGAAATTTCTCTCTGTTTTTACGACTGCCATTTTGAGTGTAAATTAGCATTTTGGAGGAAAATTTTTTGGCGATTCACCGACGTATATGGCTATCTTTTGAATGGGTTCATGGGTTATAATTTGTTTCTATTTTTAATATAAATGACGGGATACTCAAGTTTCTAAGCAAGAAGTGAAACATAAGCATTTCGAAATTCATTTTTTCTAATAAAGGTCTCTTAAACAACTTTTCGCTTTTGGGGTTGTGGGTTCTTTTATTAAACGGTTCTAAATTTGACGACTTGTCAACATTTTAGCGATTTTAAGATCAGTTTCTATAGAAAATTTGTAATTCCGAGATCTGAGAATGTTTCGGCAATTTTTTTAAAGCATCATAACATTATAAATTTCATTAAAAATAATAAAAATATATTAGATTTATATTTAAAAAAATAACTTTAAAAAAATTTTTATTTTTCACTGTCATATTATAGAGTTTCGTTTTGGTAACTTATTATACAATATTTTAATCTGAAAAATAAAACAAGTATAATGCTAATTCAGAAGTCAAACAACATTAAGGTATAATGCTATAAAGTCTTAATTAAGATATATAATACTATAAAGCATAATTTACGAAACAGCTCTTAGTAAAAGCAAAATTAGTTATGTAATTAATTAAAAATGTCATCTTTTTATATTTTTTCATAGTAAGCATTTTTCCTTCTCTCGGATTATTCAAAATTCTCAGAATATGCATCAGTTTTCTCTATAAAATTAATTTTACACTTTTTCCTTCCTTTTTTTTCCAAAATATTTATGGCTTTTTGCTGTTGCAGAATTGGTTGGGATAATTTTTCTTTTGTATTTTAGACATTGCAGCATGGAACATTTAGAAGAATTTGAATGCAAGATTTATAGACCCACGATTCTAGAATATTCAAGAAATATGTGACAAAATGAAAAATGTCTCCATGATATCAACACGTAATGGATGTATTTTACAGAAAGTTTGCGATGAATTTCTTACTTTTGTCTGGAATGTCTGGAAGAACAATGAAACATAATATTTGAATGTTTTACTCCTGATACTAGAATCTTTTTTTCTTAACATGTTTATCTTCCCTTTATTTTCTCTAATTTTCACTAGATACAAGCATGGAAAATATCAAAAATGCTTCTAATCGTATCACTTGGGCAGGCATTATAGAAAGAGTTTTTTTATTAATAAAGAAATTGAAAACTTACAATTTAAAAGATTCATCTAATACGTCTAAATGCATCGTACACAGAGCTGGTGCTAGGCATTTTCCCATCTGATGCAATCTCTGTGGATCCTAAATTCTGCTGCCTATTGCTTTTCTAAATTCTGCTTCCAATGCCTGCTCTAAATTCTAAAAGTTTTTCCATTTCTAGATTTTTTTGTTCTGTGTGTCACTAAATTCTAAAAATTCAGTCACACCAGCTCTGTAACCGGCCTATACCATATATATTTCATATTTCTTGTTCATATTACTAAAGAAATAAAATTAACCACTTTTTCTGTACATTCTAATTGCACTTAGTGTTTTTTAGAATAACAGAAATCCTTAATTAAATCCGAAAATTCTAAAATGAAAAGGAAACATGTTGAAGAAAGAAACTGAACACATAAAGAAAATTATTCTTCAAAGATATGTGCAGTTATTATTATGTAAATTGCCCAATTGTTTATGATTTCACCCTTTACTATAACTTCCCATTTCTGTTTCTTCATATCATAGAGTTACTGAGCCAGATTAAAATTGTATAATCTTTCACCACTAGTACACAATTTTAGTTTGAATTTGACTGTTCTTGTTTAATTATGTCACCGTGAGCTGTAATTGACTTTGTTAGCATCAGAATATGCCTTTATGTTTGTTTTAAGTTCTTTTTAAAGAAGAGACTTATTTAAACCTTTGTCTGATATTGTAGTTACTTTCAGAGACAATGATAATTTGTTTCACGTCTCTCGGTGCGGGGGAGACTATTTAACTTTTGCCAGATCAAGTAAACTCTCATAGGTACATTGTGGAGAGGTTGACAAGCTAGGAGATAAAGCACATAGAAACTAGCGAGAACACAGGTTTACATATTGAGACAAATTTCTAATTATTGCCAGAAAAGATGCTTAAAGAGAAGGAAATTGATACAAACTAGCCAAAATGTTTGCAAAGGCTTGTAGAGACATTAGGTATTTTTGAAAGCAGGAAAGATAAAAAATTAACAACGCCTTCGCCGGGAATCGAATCGCGGACCCCTGTAATACTGGCCCAGTGGGCAAAGCACTGCACCACGAAGGCTCGCCAAGAAGGTGGGTGAAATACCTTATATACTGCCCCTTTTAAAGGGCAATTGCGATTTTTAGGGGACCCAATTGCCAAATCCTGGGTGTGGAGAACCATCATCCAACACCCTTTTCGTTCGCGCGCCACTATAAAGACATTAGGTATTTTTGAAAGCACGAAAGATGAAAAATAACCAACGTCTTCGCCAGGAATCGAACTGCTGACCTCTGGAATACCAGCTCAATGTGCTGCAAACCACTACACGAAGGCTCGCCAAGATGGTGGGAGAAATACCTTATAGGCTTCAAATTAAATTGACGGATAAATATTTTGTTCAGTGTTGTTGTTACAAAACGTAAATGTTTTGTATCTTTTAATGTGTAATTATCTTAATATCGTTTAAGAATCAATGTTATAAATTACATGTATTTTAAACTGCGAAATTTATTAGATTTTGATTTTAACAGGGCTTTTTTTTTTAACAAATATTGTTTAAAAAAATTTAATAGTGGCCATGTAAATCCATAATGACTAAGGTTATCTAATTGCCTAATTTAATTATTTATAACTAACTACTTACCCTTAAAAATTATCTCTTCATATTAAAGCAAGTTATTGCCTTTCTTTAATACTCACTGTGGTCACAAGATAAAACACAAAAATGTAAAAATTCAAGTAAAACGTATTCTTTGCATCTACTGAGACTTGAAATAATATATACAATACAACTTAACCTCTGGTGCTTTAATGGCTTATTAGAACCTTAAAGTATATTAACTGAGTTGCAACCCCTGGAACTCTACGTAAAGCTATGACATACTCTGCATTAAGCAGAGCATGACTAACTTTCAACACTTGCCAACCGTGCCTACATCGGGCTTTTCAGGTTTGTTCCAATCAGCAGGTCTCTTTCTAGACAAGCAGCAGAAGGACAACATTCAGTCAGTTGTTATGAATCATACTGATTATTATCTTACTTCTCATTTTAACTTATGCAGTTTGACATAAAATCTCCCTGCTATTTACTAAACCTCTAGACTGACCAAGTATGTGGCAAAATGAGATATAAAAAAATCAATAATATAAAATGAGATATAAAAAAATCACATAATAAAGCTAACTATTAGTAAAACTTAAATGTCACTTATCTTCTTTCAAATATATCCAACTATTATAAGTGTAAAATATTTAATGCTACTTGATAAACTGCATGAAGTTTATTTTATTCCCAAACTTATTAATAATTATGTTAGTTAATTCATGTTTAGTAATAATGCATACTACTTAGGGATCTATTTTATTTTTAGGATGGTATTACAAAAGTGAAATTCAGGCATAGAATAATATATTTAATTGAATTTTATTCAGTTCCCATTTGCTCATAGGTCCTTTATTTTTTTCATTAATGGTCCTTAAAGTTTTTAATAGTACTTAATTTTCGTGTGCAGAAATGTGTACGAACCTTGAAGTTGTAAGAAAATGCATCACACTCCTGCAAAAGGCAAATTGGCTATTATGAATGCAAGGTAACATTTAACTGTGTGTAGATCCATGCTTTGAAATTTATCACACTAAAAATGAATTTAAAGTAAAATATTTAGTTGTCAAATGTATAATGTCAAATTTACTAACAGGTAAGTAAATACTGAACAAAACGTAATGTACAAAATATAGACACTCATGAAAGAAACAGCTGGTCCCAGCAGTATATGCACTTTTGTTGCAAAAGCATTAATTACAGCAATATTTAGGTTTGTTTAAACTATACATACTTTCTTAATTTGAACTGTACTTAACACATTTTTTCATAGAAAGTTAAGTGTATGGAATATGATTTTGTATAAATTATTACAGAAAACAACTTGTGAATATGTAATAATTTCATATTTATTTTTTATTGCATTTCAGATTTTAAAAAAATCTGGCAATGATGTGGCTGTAGTAATTGGTGCTGGAGTTACTCTACATGAAGCTTTGAAAGCTTCAGAAATTTTAGGAACACAAGGAATAAATATTCGTGTTATTGATCTTTTCACTATTAAGCCCTTGGATGTTAATACAATTAGAGCTCAAGCTAAAGAGTGTAGTGGTCGTATTGTTACTGTTGAAGATCACTATCCTGAAGGTAAGAAATATAACATTCTGTTATCTAAAAATATAACATTGCTCTAAAATTTTGTTCTTAAAACAAAGAAATGTTACTTTTTTGTATTGGCTTTGAAATGTTTGTTAAATATATTTCCGAAAATAGCTGAATTAATGCATTGCTGTACCTAATACAGTCAAAAGTCTTTAATCTGGACGTCGATAATACGGACATCAAAGCTACAAACTTTCTGTGCATACGCATAATACGTTTATGCATGCGCATTTAATGTATAATAGACGGTATAAGCTAAGCTAAAATTAGCTATTTCAGTTAATGTTGCAGATTGCGTTGTTCCTTAATCTCTGGAGCCCACCAGCAGCCGAGCGGTAAAGTCGCTGAACACTGGTAGTTCGGTCCGAGGTTCAAATCCCACGAATGGTCTGGCTGCATGGGCATTTTCGTGGTTTTCCCCATATGTAACGTGTATACGAGCCAGTTTCCCTTAGAAAGTCCTCCACGAAGGCATCCCTCTCCTTAGGCAGATAGCCCTCTTGTGCTTTGCCATAATTAAATACACCAACACCTTAATCCCCGAATTGGATCCGACTTATTATTTTTTGCAGACTGTTATAGCAATTTTATAAAAGTAAGCTTGAACTTTCGATTATGTCAAATAAAATGTCCGATTCTATAGCTGCGAAAGCATGTTTCAATGTCCATCAAACAAAAAGTGGAATTGCTGCAAAAAATGGACAAAGGCATGAAGAAAGTGACAGAGAGGTTAGTGAAAACGAAAAAATTTCGATTGACAAGTTAGTCTGTATTCTCGGCACAGCACAAAAAAAAAATAATAATAATAATAATAATAATAAAAATCCGTTATCCAAGTCCTTGTAAATTGTATCTCGAAGACCTGTTTAAAATTTCATCGAGATCAGTGTAGTCTTCGAGAAATCATGACATAGTTTTGAGAAAAACGCGTTTAAAGTTTTGAGTGACCATCTTACATTGAATCGTCGATTCCTGGGCCATAAAGTAATGAACCTGCTGCAGCTGCAATGTCCTCAGCTTCCTTTTGTTCCTGTCTATGACGAATCCTGGCTTCACGAGTCAATTTTTTTGCTGATGTGCTCATGAAAGAATCATCATGCTGCTCAGGATTTTTAGGATTGAACGACTGTCTCCGTTTCTTGGGTCGATCTTTTCTACGAGCACCTTCCACTAATTGAGATCTTGAAACTTTGGGCATTTTTAAATATAATTTACTTTGGACACTTATAACCTCAAAATAAACCTCATGGTTCAACAAGTGATCACCAAATGAAGTATTTCAATTAGTTGCCCTTAAAAAGAGAAAAGTAGCCATAAAAGACAAATGAACAATAGGCAAGCAGCTGCTCTTTTATACCTGCGGCAAGCGGAGCCCAGGTAGCCTTGAGCGCGCCACTTCAAAAGGCTGTATCTCTGAAACTATTACTCGGATCAACTTGAAATTTTCGGACAATATTTGAGAGATGTTGTAAAAAAAGAAATCGATTTTTTGAACCCGTGAAACCCATGTAACCCCTTAAACTGATGATCTATAACCCGGAATCGCCAAAGTCCCGATGAGTCCAGATTAAAGACTTTTGACTGTATTGAAATATTAACAGAAATAATAATTTACCTTTCTTTTCTATAAAAAATAAATATAAAGGAATTTTATTTTTCATTTGTTGTAATTCATTTCGGTGATGATTACACAGTCAAAAAAATTTATTCTAGACGACATTTTTTTTCCAAGAGGATTATTTATTTGTTTGATCACACTTTACATATTTCAATTTAAATATATTTTACACTTTAAAACTGAACACATTTTTATTTGTATTGTACTGAAACAAAATGAAAGAATTTTGTTGCTTAATTTAAAACAATGTGTAACTTAATTCTGTTCAAGTAAAACATTTTTTACATAAAATAATGAAATTTATCATACTGTTATTTTTTTTTTTTACTGAGTTTAATTTCTTGAAGTTATGTAATTTTTTCAATGAAAAATTAAGCTCATAGTTAATTTATGGACAAGCTTTTAATTTTTACTTCCATTAAAAAGACCAGTTAGTTGAAGTTCTACTGTATGTTAATCAAGTTTTATTTTTTAATCTAATGAATTGGTATTAATTGATAAATGTTTTATTGTCAGTACTATCATTGCATCACTTCAAGTTTTGATTTGGTTTTGAATTGAATTAGGTGGCATAGGGGAAGCAGTTGCTGCTGCTGTAAGTTGCTGTCATGATACTACAGTTACTCGGCTTGCTGTTAATGGTTTGCCTCGCAGTGGACCATCTGCTGCCTTGCTTGAAATGTTTGGAATTGGTGCAAGTCATATTGTTAAAGCTGTACTGGAAATCAAAGACTTTTAGAAATAAATTCATATTTTAAGGAAATAAGTATCATTCCAAGGCATAAACAGGCACAAATTAAATTTAATATTTTTCATAAATGTTTAGTTTGATAAGCTTCATTATGGCTTTGTATTTTCACTTTTATTTGAATATTGCCATTGCCTAGTTGCTTTGTTTGTAATGAAATATGCTTTTCATAAAGTGTTTAAAAACTTTCTTCTTCATAAAATGTTGTTTTTCTTGAACATGTTAGCATAGGCTAAATTTAACTTTATAAAGTTTTTCTTTTATTTCATGTATGTTTAAGTCACTTTTCAAAGTTTCGTATAGGAGTAATAATATACTTATGAAAGATAATACTGCTTTAATCAAGTGTTGATACTATTTTAATCTGTGTAAGCATTCACTTGAAAATCAGTGTTTAACAATGGAATTTTTGTACCTGAAGTACATGTTTGAAAAAGTACCAGAAACATTTCATTTTATGTAAAAGTGATTACATAACAGCAATTTAGGTAAGAAAATATCCAAAATGATTTAGAATTATTACATAAATGTCAAATTCATTAAAGTATTTCTTAGCTGAATGAAGTAAAATCAAACACCTTCTGAAAGACTCTGCACTGGACAAAATTGCAGCATTTCATATGTAAAATATTCACTTTCAAATGTATATTTTACACATGGATAATTTAATTTCTTGGCTGCACATTCCACATTTTTTCTAAGCTGTGCAAATGTAGCAGAATCTGTTTCTTCTGCAGTTTCCACAATAATTTATTCCAACATCGTGTTTTTCCCCATCCCTTGTGCAGCAATAATAAAGTCATGTGCATTAACTCTTAAAATTTTATTTTATTCAACATAATGGCAATAGTGAATTTTATGTTCTTTCTGGGTTAGAAAAAAAAGTGAATAAACAATTTGTGCCCCCCCCCAAAAAAAAAAGAAAGAAATTTGGTAGGAATAAGTTTATTTTAAACTATTTGATTCATCAGATAGAAAAAGTATTTTATGACATGGATTCTTTTATTTAACCCTTTAAGAATGAGTATTTTGAACAAAATATAAAGTATCAGAAAATATTTTTTCAAAGTAAATTTTCTAAATAAATTGTTATTTATATTAAAATAATGTAATCTAATTTCCCATTAGCAGACACTAACAAAGGCTTTATCCATTGTCACGGGCTGTTTGTGGGAGAATATATTGGTCTCTCTGAGATTCAGGAAGTTTCCGTTAATGGAGATTTGACTATCTAAACTTATGTTTGTGATTAAAATATAATGATTTTATATTAAATTTATGCCTATCAAAGAAAGATTTGCAAAAATAACCATCAAAGTCCAAAATTGCATTTAGGCTATCAACTTCTTATAATTGGTTCCTTTTCTCTCATACTTGCTTCTGTGGAGGCTGTATGTGTTTTCTGATTTTTTTCCCCTTCCTGTGTCCTGTAATTATAATATGACAGAAAAAAGTCTTCTAGCGAAAGCAATAGTATTTGGGCATACACCAACCTCAGACAAATGGATTGAGTTGTTTAATTTAGGCACTTTGATCAAAAGCAGCCAGTGGGATTCAAAGGACTTAATCCCTCTTTTCTAACCAGCGACATCTGAAAAAACTCAGTGATCAACAGATTTTAAAACACCATTCTGCAAATATCCAGCTGTATCACCCAGTCATGTGAGTAATGAAATGTTTCTCCATCACTCAATTCATGGATACATCCATTACAGCCTACTAAAAATGCAAATTTTTGTGTATATACAGAAATAGAAACAAGATCTACCTACTTTAACCTATTTTATGCAGTTCCAATCATTTTTTCTTTTTCTACATAAGAAAGAAGCAAAAATGAATTGTAGCTTATAACACCTATTCTTCCTTTAATCCAGACTTATTGCATCTGGACCTATAGTTAGTTCTACACAATGAACAGAATATCTAGATACATTAAACTTAAGGGTTGAATAATCCTTTATTCCAAACAACAGTTGATGTGATTCTCCATCATATTAGATATACTCATGTGAAAATTATATCTATTTTACGAAAAATATTAAAGCAAAGGTAGGTACTAAATATGCCAATTAGGAATTCTGCAAATATTCAAAGTTTAATACATGTGCATGTCTGCAGAGTTGTGATTCTGGGGGTGGTATAAGTGCACAAAAGGTTTTTGAAGATTTTTGAGCTGCTCAACAACATACGTTGCTTTTCTCATAAGAGTTGGGTAAATTTTATAAGCTATTGGGTAAAATGAGTTGCCACAAACATACAGATAATGAAATAAGGTGGAGAATTACAAATGCAGGAGCCTACAGAACTCAAAGTAATGCATGGTGTTTGTGCAAACACTTAGGACAGTGGATCCACATTGAAAAGACCTGAAAAACGTTGAACAAGATCCATGGCAGTGATCAAAGATAAGGCACATTCATTGCGGCCACACAGGACTGAATTGCTACGACTCTCACATGAGCTGCAGGCCAGAAGACATGCTGTTTGCATTCTGCTCACTGCAGCACACAAAAGACCACATTTAGCATGGTACAGATAACATAGACCAGACTTCATTGGAGTATACCATGTTTTTCAAGATGAGCTGAGATTCAGCCTAGATACTGACTCTTGGCATACCTGTATTTCGAGAGAGCCTGGAACACGATGCCATCCTTCCCTCATCAGGAAAAGGATCATTATGGTGGTGAAGGTGTAATGCAAGAGTGGATACAAAAGAGCATATTTAATGTGGTGCAGACAACATGTACCTTGAACCAGATTTCAGTGGAGCACTGTTTTTACAGATAAGTTGAGAATAAACCTGGACAATGATTTTTGTCGTAGAAAGAGATGAACACAATACCATCCCTCCCTCATCAGGGAAAAAGATCATTACAGTGATGGAGGTGTAATGATTTTGGTAGACATTATGTTGGACTGTTGTACACCCCCACATGTATTTGACAAAGCCTTCCCAACTGCTATGAGGTACAGAGAGGAGATCTTAGACCTCTATTTGATTTTTCAAGAGCACTGTTGGTCTTAGGTTCCTGCTAACAAACTGTAATGTTCATCCATATGGGCTGAATGATTACCTGGAAAGTGAGGATATTTGTCGCATGGCTTGGCCAATCATATCTCCTGCTCTTAACCTTACACAGCATATATGGGATGCTCTTGGAAGGATAATTTCATATCGCCCTGGCACAGAAAAAAATTCTTTCCTGCAGCAGTGGCGATTGACATACACGCGGACTCCTCAGCTGCCTTTTATCTAGCATCTGACTTTTGAGCAGTTTTTTTTTTTGTTATAAAATGTATATTCAAATTTCATTAAGATCTGTGCAATAGTTTTTCAAAAACTCAGCATAATGATAATGCACTAATTCTCTTAATTTTGTACATGAGCATATTAAAATGAAGATGCAAAATAATTTTCTCCTGAAAAAATAAAGCCAACTATTTCTTTCTCTAAATGCATTTTTAACCTTTACTATCAGAAATTAGCACAAAATATGCCGCTGGAATAAAATTGCAACACCATGAATGAAAACATACTCAAAAAAGAGATTTATGGCATGGAATGGCGTGAAGACAGGATGATTAAATTTGTAAGCATTTTGGAGGTTTACAGGGGTGCGAAATTAGTAGAAACAGTTGTCACCCCTGGCAGTTAAAACGGCCCTTATCCAATTAGGAATGGAGTCAAGCTGGGCTTAGATGTCAGAAACAGGCAACTCATTCCATGCTGCTTCAAGTCATGTCGCAATTAATCAACCGTATTAGCTGGAGAGGTGTGGCGGGCCGTCTCTCAGCAACTCATGACCAGATCTTTTGATGAGGTGACAGATCTGGAGACTGTGCAGGCCAGGGCAGGTATCGAATACCCTGTGTATCGGAGAAGGTCAGAACACGTGTAGCGTGTCGTCTTGTATTATCTTGTTGGAACATGGCATTTAGGGATCTCAAAGACAGGGCATAACCACTGGACGTAAGATGTCAGAAATGTATGCATCTGCGTTCAAATTACTATCGATCCAAACTAGAGATGTGCGTGTCGTGTACCCATTGGCTGCCCAAACCATCACACCAGGTGCAGGGCCCCTATATCGATACTGAATGCAAGCAGGCGACATGCTATCTCTTCGGAGCCTCCAGGGACATATAACAGCCATTGGAATACTGCACATAGACCCGGGACTCGTTTGAAAAGGTGACATTGTGCCACTCTTGTATCCAACTTTGTCATTTGGTGCACCAGAGTCCAGGGCCGTCTTAAGGAATTCGGCGCCCATGGGCTACTAAAAATAATGCGTCCTTCTTCCTAAGAAAATACGCAGAATGGCAAATGGGAGTCGGAAAAGTTATACAAAACAAAAGTGTCAGAACTAGAAAAAAACTATTTATTACTTTTATAATAAACTGTTATCTTTATTGTAACTTTTCTTTAAAGTCACTTATTTTTAAAAGATGGGTATAAATGTTTACCCAGATTTTGAGGGGATTATCTCAATAATGACAGTTCCGATCAGTTTTTTAGTCTAATCCTTAGAACTTGATCGGAACTATTATATGATTCTCCATCAGTGCATAACATAAACAAAAAATAAAATTTAATTAAATAAAAAACCATTTAAGAACAAAAACACACCTTATTCTAAACAAATGTAACTTATATATTTACTTTCCTAGCTTTTTCTTTGGCAAACTGATCAATAATATCACTAGTATTTAAATTTTCAAATAAATCTCTTTCAATAGACAAAATACTTAAATCATTGAGTTTACTCTGTCCCAAAGAAGATCGTAAGTAATTTTTTATTCTTTTGATTGCTGAAAATGATCTTTGGCCACTGCAGTTTGTTGTGGCGATACTTAAAAATATGCGCAGTGCTGTGGTTACGTTTGGAAATGTAGATTCAATTTTTAACTCTATTATTGTCTTTAAACTTAGTTCTGCGATAGATATATTTTCGGTATTTTTCCAATAAATTCACATGTTTAAAATGTAGGCATTCTTCAATAAAGTTGTTTTCTAAATCATTCTGATATATTTCGCACAACTTTGCAGCATTTATTTCTAATTATGTCTTCATTTATATTTTTAAATTAACTAGAAACCCCAAATGTTGAATAAATGTCAACATATGCACATTTCTCTTTTGTACTTCTGCTAGAATTTTATCAATATAGCATAATATGTTTTTATGCGGAATTCGT